GTCCCTACCAGCCGTTTTTGTAGGCATTAAACTGCCAGAATTTTAAAAGACGATATCTCCGTTTGCATTGATCTTTCAGCTTCGTAACTTTGCAGATATTGTTTATGCTCAAACACCAACATTACACACTAACTAAGGTTAAAAAAGTGAAATCGCAATGAACCACCCCTTTAATGTGTCCTAGCTGAATGAAAGTATACATTTTTTTGGTTTACCCCATTTCGTCTCCTCTGACTGGCCTTCCAGGTATCCAGCTGTGCTTTGGTCTTTGCATCCACCTTCACAAGTAACTTCTTATCACCCACCTGCAGCTCATGAAGTAGTCGGAGAGCTCTCAGCGTGGACTCTGGCTCTTTGTACTCACAGAAACCAAAAGCTACACATACAAACACACACATAAAAATGTATGAAGTTCACAACATTGGGTCAGACAGGGCGGACAGATGACATGAATTTAGAAAGCTGAAGGTCTGATCTTTTTAAACATATTCCTGTTTGCCTAAGACAGCCCATGTTAACAAATACTAGCACAATCCTGGATAGAGATCTTTAAAAAAAAATCTAAACTGCTGGGCCTAAAGTAGTCAAACTAAATTTGAAAATACCAAGTCTGTAAAAAAATTGCATTGCTAGAACTTACCAATAACATCTTTGTCAATAACGGTGGACTACAAAAGACTGACACACTATGCATTGATGATTATTATAGTCTTTCTTTATACCTTGCAGTTTTCCAGAAGCCCCCTGGACTCTTTTCCAGCTGAGGACTAAACCACATTTCTGCAGAAGAGAGGAAAATGTATTTTATGACAAGCTGACAATTAAAAAATTCTGAGCTAACATAACACAGACATTCCCATGAACATCAGGTCAAATAAAGAATGTGTTAATCAACTTACAAGGAACATTTAAATTTTGTCCTTATTTACTCACCCTCATATTGCTCAAAACTCACATGACTTTCATTTACCTTCGAAACAAAAGTGAGGATATTTTTGATGAGAGCACAATACAGAGCACATCAATCAGCAACAAACCTCATTGGTTCTCATGTGTCAAGCAAGTAAGTTTGAACTTCCGTTTACCATTGATGTACTCTATGACATAAGAGTGAGTAAAAGATGACCGAATTTTATTTCTGGAGAGAACTAATTCTATACAGGTAATGTGTCTAAGAGATTTAATATTACTGCGCAGATAAAAGTTGCAGAATAAATTCCAAACACTCACCGCCAACAACTGCCGCACCAACATGTCAGAGGCCTTTTCTGAGATGTTTCCCACAAACACTGTGGTGGTCGGTCCTGTGTTGTTACCCGTACCTTCCTCCGAGTACTTGTTACGGGTGCCAATGGAGTCCTTAGTCAGCTTCTGAACCACTGACACTGCAGTTTGTACCAAAACCTGCAGCATATTTCACGAACAAACAGTAAAGTACAACTGCACAGAGTATAATAAACACAACCTGTCTGACAGATCCATGCATCTGAATTTGGATGCATAACAGGCTTGCATGCATATTATTTTAAATGGTCAGGAGTAAAGCACCAAAAGATCTGGTATGGTCACTGTACTTAGGATCTGTGTATAGCACACAGCCTACAGACATTACGCATATATGGCACATTGTAAAACCTGATTTTCTTGGAAATATTCCAGGAAATGATTATCAGGCTGGTAACAGGGTTAATATTGAAAACAAATGAAAGAAACCAAAAGAAACGTCTAAGCTGTTTCTTGACATACCGCTGGAGAAGGAGTCATCATTCCCACAGGGACGGGGATTATCGGACTTGCTGAGGAAAAATAAAAATAAACAAAGATTAAGAACTTCAATGTCAATATATATGAATATACATATTTCTTATCTTCATGACGTACCTGTAGGAACAGTGGTGGGAAACCCAGCAAACTGTGTGGGGGAAATGCCAGGGGGCAACTGGGCTATCTGGTTCAGATGAGGGAATGACATGTCTGCTGACACACCGATCTGTCAGAGAGATTTTATGTCAGTTCCAAAGAGCGTTTGGACATACAAAGTCATCTTAACTGTGATTTCATCCTGGGTATAATATGAATCATACGAATCAACATTCATTGCATCCACAACAAATCTCTATACTTCATTATACCCTACTTGAACTAGGCCAACTGGAAAATAAAGATGTTTCCTCTGTATTTACTATTGATTAAGACTCACCCAATTCGGTTTTAGTTTCAACGCCGCTAAAAATAAGAAGACCTCCTATCCGCTACAGGAATGGATATATAACGCCACGTTCAGTAAAATATTGAATGTTTCTCTTTTGATTTGGTCATGCGTTCCTCTGATAATAAAGAGCATCCATAGAAAATCCAAAAATATCGTCAGCGACAAGAATGGCAATTCAGCATGAAGCTTTATGTAAATATGGGCGGGGCTTAGTGACCTAGTATGATTTCTCAAGTGTTCGCTGAGAATTTGCTCTTTATCGATTATCAAAAGTTGTAAGTGTGATAGTTCGGGTTTAAATATTGTCAAGAACGCTGATGAAGCAGCACGTTGACGGCTTTGTCACGTTGTACCTGATACTTTTCTCAGCGCAAATCAGGACGGACCAATCACATTTGTTTAGGATTTATTCATTTTTTATTATAGATGAAGCGGATGGTGTTTTTCCAATGTCAGATACAAAAATCGTTTAAATTAACTGGTTTATTTTAATACCGTTTTTAGATTATAATAAAATCATCCTGAGATTTGAATGTGATCGAATTGAGAATTCGGCATTTTGAGCCAGCAAGCGCCCCCTAGAGGAATTGAACTTTTGTGCATAGGAAAAAAATACTAAAAACATTCCGACCAACGAGAAAATATTTCCGGAAATGCTTTGATATACAGCAAACAACATCACATTAATGCTACAGCGCCACCAAACGTCCAGCTGACTTTATTTTTGCAGAAATAGTAAACTATTTCAAAAGCGCAATAATATCACCCAAATAATGCATTACCAAGGCAGTCTGACATAAACACAAATTCAACATGACATTAAATGCTAAATATGGCCATGTAACTCTGCCATATGATTGTGATAGCAGCGAAACCATGCAGAAAAAAAAACAAATCTCAAAAAAACTCGACCACCAGATGGAGTCAAAATGCAGAGAATATGGACTCCATTTACTAAACTGATCAATCAATAAATCTCAATGAATTATGTATAAATATGTAGTTATGTTTATAAGTGCGTTTGCTAGTGCATATAAACACTGAAATTAGGCCAAAGTTGTCAACAATTTGCCACACCTCGTCAAACCGGTATTCCAGACATTTCTATAGAACATAAATATTCAGTCATGCAGCCATGCAATGGACACTGGATCTGTTTTGATCCACTGTATCTGTACGATGGGAATTTGTTGACGAGACATTAGTCAAGCCAAAAAAACATATGCAGTCGGGCAGTGCAGAGATGGAAATTTCCAACACCACAAAAAAAAGCACCCCATCTCTCACGCCACTCATTCGCCCAAAGCCACGCTCATCGAAACAAACCCACGAAGGCGGAGCTTCTGATTGGCTGGGAGGAAGGTGTGTCATCGGGTGTGACGCAGGTTTGCTCGCTCTAGGAATAGAAAACGTGGTTCACGGCGCACTGAGCGGACGAAGCTGTCGAACACAATTGGATGCTGGAGGATTGTTAGATTTTGAGGGGCGGTCTCGAGATTTCACCCAAAGCGTGTGGCTTTGAGCGCTATCTTCCGCTATTCACCAAATCATGAATATGAATTAAGTGGCAGACTTAAAGAAAGACGTCGTGGCAGTTCTTTGAGATTCAGCAGCCAGCCAGAAGAGTAAAAGCCACATCGGGCGACAGACTATTCGTTTGCAACCTTCCGCTGCATTTTTATATTTTATCTCAGAACTCTCCGGTTGAGTCAGCATGGCCTTGAGAGGACCACTGTCTAGATTATTGAGATCCACGTTGAGTTCCTGCCAGCAGAACCGATCGCAATCTGTTGCCATTTTGGGAGCTCCGTTTTCCAAAGGACAGGTAAGAAATATAGATTTATTTAATTAGAACTCACACAAACTCACCGATGTATAATTTAGTGATGTGACGGTATTTTTACGATTTTCACTCAGAAAAGGAGAGGGGTGGAACATGGACCCAAAGCCATCCGGGATGCGGGTTTGGTGGAGAGACTTTCAAATCTCGGTAAGTACATCATTAGTATCTATGTATCTCTCTAGCTAGATAGATATGGGTAGATAACGTTAGATTTATAGATTATTAAAACTCAACATACTTCGGGGAGGGGGAATTATATATATAT